AAGATATCAAGTGAAAATTAAATGCAAAGATATAAAGTAGAAAAGTAAATATTTAGTACAGACCCTGTTTGTTGTTTTTTGTTTTGTTTCCAAAAGTCACAGCTGACCATCATACTACTTGAAGCTAAACAAACAGAAAGTTTCACCCCCAATTAAAAAGAAAAGTTTCACCCTAGTAAAAGATCAGCAGAAAACCCCCAATAACTATTTTAAACATACATATCTGTAATGAGAAATAGCTTACAGGGATGAAGGAATAAAATCCTGTCACTTTGCCAGTGTAAAGTTATTGCATGTATCCACCTGTGAGAACAGCAAGTTCTAATAATAAAATCTCATAAAAGTTCAAAATTCTGCTCATAGATATTCCATTGTCATTCAAACTTTGTATCCAAGTTTGACAAGAACGTGTCGTCATAATGTGTCTACGAGCAAGTATATTCATGAAGAGTACAGTTTAAAATTAAATTAAGGAAAAATGACCCGATATCTGATTATGTAATTTTTAGTACCATGATCTTTTATGACCTCAGTTTGGTGCTGCAATAAATGATAGCACAAAGGTAATATACTACATAAATTTCAAAAGATGATGTCATTAATAAATCAATGACCATGATGATGTTTGTGTCAACATTTTACTTGGTGCTGCCCTCAGTAGAATTCCTAGTATAAAGTAAGCTATTTTTAATCTCTTCCAACAAAAAAGTTTGTCATGAAGTAACTCAGAGCATAGAAGTAATCTAATTTTTTATGTCTTCAGAAGAACATAAATATAAAAAGGAAACAAAATAGAAAGCAAAGCAGTGCTGATGAAATTCGGCAGTGTTTCACAAAGCATACAGATAAGAATTAAAGATATAAAAGATGTAGGAAGAGATGAAAAACACGAACAAATAACTATTGACTCTTGATGCTGCTACATCAATTTTTATCTGCTTTATTTGGTTAAGCCATACTGTTTTGCAGAATTTCAGGAACTCATTATTTAGCGATGTATCTTCTGATTTTAATAAGTGTATCATAACAGAAACCTTGATCGAAACATTTTTCTTAAAATGTCTAACACATGGCTTTCATCTTACAGTGCTTTAGACCACAGGGTAGCAAGTGCTAGGCCGCTTTTTTTCCCACATGTGAGAAGTTGAACGAGAGGAAGCCCAAGTGATTTGCCCAAAGGCAAAAAAGGGATCATGTAAACGATTCAAAGTACTTTATAGAAGTATATTCCTAAAACTCTAAACCTTTAAAAAAAGAGTTATCTCCCTGTTCTGATAAAGCAACCCTCTTCTTGAAGCATGCTGGTCTCCACAACAGTCTCTAATCAGGAATATTAGCTGTAGGTGGAAGACCAGTATCCATCAGCCCTGCTGTGGCCTTCGCTTTGGCAAGGGACAGTGTGTCAGTCTTGGTCTTACTCCTTCTCTCTAATCTTTCTCTCTTCTCACTCTCTCAAAGAACTTCCAACGGCAACCAGGACCCTTTCTAGACCTAGGCCTGAGATCTCCATGGTTTTGCGCTACTCCTCAGTTACACTGGTTTTCTTTTCACTGCTTTCTTTAATCTGCAGCTACCAGGTACAACCTACAGCCTAGAATACAGCTTCTTACAATTCTTTTGCATTCTTGAACCCACCAGGACACGCTGCTCATAGTGATGGTCAGAGCCATGAGTGCATCAACAGGCCTTTAATGGCCTTGAGTGACCCTGAGCAGCCTCACCTGGGGCCTCCAGCCACACCTAGCCCATGGGCTCAAGTCCTGCCTGAGCACTGCTGTAGGCACAGCTTTATATCCAGCTCCAGCTCCTGGATGGAGCCCTTGTATATACACTGGGGGATGCTTTTATTTTTTGTCAACATATTTACATGCTTTTGTAAGCCTGAGGTATTATTTTATCATCCCCAAGAAACAGGGCAATCTTCGACTGAGTCAACAACACACACACACCCTTGTACGAAAAAATGTGTTTATATTGAAAACTCATGTGAATAATTTCAAAATCTTTTCTATTACATTCCCAGGTGCACTCTCCACTTGTGCAGCAAATGATCTTGATTCTGCAATAAAAACATTATTTTCCAGTTGTGTAATGGGGCCATGGTTATGGCAGTGAAAACTACTTAATGTAATTAAAAGGAGGTTTTGTACTTTACAGAAAGGTAGACAAAACACATAAGAGACTTTAAAACAAAATTATTCAACTAGTTTGTGCTATTTAATGTTTGTGCCTCTTAATCAGAAGGGCAAAACCAGCAGCATCACCCTTTTGCACACCCTTATAAAAGGTCTCCTTAGTAAGTTTTCTCGCTACCCACTGTGTGGCTGGACATGTTTCTAACTTCTAACTGAAGAGTTACAGCCTCATCTCTATTCCACCATTTTGGAAGGGTGTTACAAACTGCAAAATATGATAATCTTAACAACAACATAAGATTAGATAGCATCCCCATTCTCATTTTACAAAGGAAAAAAAATGAGGCACTGAGATATTAAGGTGAAGGTTATAAGAAATAATGAATGATCATTTCCATTGTCCAGTCTAACACATCACATTTTTGTTTTTCTGGAGAGTAAAGACTCTGATGTTATTTTGTATATTCAAAGAATTATTCCTGTTACTGTTATTTGTAGCTGCAAAAGCATGTTCCAATTACATTTGTATAGCTGGGGTTTATTTGAAGAGTTCAGTTAATTTGAAGTATGAAAAGAACAGTTGAGAAAATGTTGATTCCAGTGCCTTGCTCAACACTACACATGGTTTCTGCAACAGTTGAAGGGAAAGAACCTCATTTGATATTATAACATCACGTTGTCTTTACTATGAGCCAATCTTTTTGTTTCTCCAGTTCCCTGCTTTATACAATTGCATTTTCCAATTGCTACACTCAGCAAGTCCTACATGGGGCCCTAGAAAAAACAGCCTTCTTCAGTATAGGCTCTAGTTCCCAATAAGCCAGTATTTATCCCTCAGACACGATGTCAGGTAAAAATAGAACGTGGTAACAATCAAAATATTGTAATTCATCATGTAAGAATGGCTGTTTGAGGTTGCAAAGGCTACTTTAAGTGTCTTAGAAATCTTAAACTCTTCTAACTTGGGCTTTTATGCAATGTCTTTCATATTCAAAAAAGAAACAGCATTAATAGTTCAAAAAGAACCACTAAAGTAACTATCTTGATTTGCATACAGCTCTCTATCAGCACAGATCTTCACTGATACTAAGAGATAATAATATGCAACAATAATAGACTTCTACCTTTTGTGTGAATGCCAAATTGACCTAAGAGAATAAAGGTTAAAAACAGGAAAGATATTCACAGGATAATTTTTCCTACAGATAAGAAGAGCAATGATTCTGGATTTTCATGTTCATTTCTGGGCTGCAAATAAAAGTGTGTTCAAGCACTTATAAATCATTCTTCCTTTCCTTTCTTTATACATCTCTATGCTATTCTGCTCCTCTCCACCCTGATTTCCATTCCAAACCTCTTCTCCATTTCTTCTTAATTAAAGTGAGCATCTTTGATTTTATCTTGTATGTTATATGCAAACAAGAGGAAGAATTAAAGGTTTCCTTCTCTCAGTTTTAGCACCCAGCAGCAATCAGAAAGAATTTTAACAAAAAACTAATCTCATCTCTTGCAGTTTTCTAATAGGTGATGACTAGATACATTTGGTCTGTTCAGCGTTCAGGACAAGGAAAGCACACACATCTATGAACAGCACCTCCAATTAATGTAATTTCTGCTTTGTACTGAGTTTGTGCAAGAAGTTTTCAGGCTGACAATTCAGTCATACCTCCAGTGATCTGATTTTAATGGAAATTATAAAAGCCTTGTCTTATGATGCAAAACAAACGCTTTTGTTGAATTTCAATATTGGATCTGAAACCTAGGGTGGTTTAGATATGCCATCAATTATAGGACTTTCTTGAACATAGGCAAACAGCTGCATGCTCAGAAATGGTGGGACTGTTTGAAACAAAGCAGCAGCAGAAGTAACCCTGAAATGGATGTCTGAAGTAAAAGAACTCTGGACCATTCCACTCAAATTTGCCAAAATTCTTAAAAAATTGTAAAGGTGTTATTATAAAGGAATGTGCTTGAATGTTAATTATTAAAACCTCTGTCAATAATACACATGTTTATTAATATAGTCATGTAAATATTCCCCAACCCAAACTCCTGAAGAATAAACACCATTTGGTAAAAGGA